ATAATGATTACTCAGACATTCCTTTTTCTATTTAAGATCACTTATTACGAATGTAAGTCACCGAATCTCCGTATACACTAAATCAAACGGAATTTTCATATACACAAGCAAATATTCATGATGACAACGAATCAACATTTGAATGTTTTCTTAGCCTTTATTTGTAAGTTTCATTACATCAGCTCAGACTGTAATCGTTTAAATATTTATTCGATTATCACATCATACTACACTGATGATTTTTCTTAAATTTCATGAGTAATATCAACAGTCCCTTTTACTTTTGTTCTCTGTCACAAATCAACCTAATAAATGTTTTATATATACCTTGATTTTCCTTTTGGTTATGTCCTTTCACTTTTAGAACTGTGATAATTTTTTATTCATCTGAATTATATGATGCGAAAATATTTAAAATTTTTGTATGAAATTTCGTTTCTAATGGAACCGGAAATGATTTCTTCACAACACTTAACTATGAAGTGGTCATTGTTAGCAGTACTGACAGCGGCTGTCAGCGTAGACCAACCCCTTCCTCTAACATATTCTAAGACAATTAGGCCCCTGCATTTGATTGATGTGAACCGAGAGGACCTGTGGAGCTTCAATCGTGGTACAGAATGAGGAATTATTATTCTAGACACGTACATTGTTTTGTCAGATCATCTGAATCAGTGCGTTGGCCAATTATAGCACATATGTATGTTTGTTGATCTCGATCAACAACCCATGATACAACTGGCATGATTGCGATCTCGCCAAAACGATACACAAAAAATACCTGCTGTAGAATCTTTTTTTGAATGTTTTGTTTTTTGGAAAATCCCTCCATGTATATATATTTGTGTTATGATATGACTGACTCTTTCTGTTGACATTTTGGTATTTTATTTGATTCCATTTTGAGATTTTATCATTGTATATTGTTATTATTTCTATATTTTGTACTTATATTGAAGCTTTTATGTTTGCTTCTGAACTGTACACATGTTGTTTAAATTTGGTCTTTAATATGGCTACAGCCATATTTGGATTTGATACTGTTGCGGTTGGATCTAGCATCACTTATTCTTTTGGAACCGGATACCCATCAGGATAATTGGGACTTGGAAGGTGTATCAAAAGTCAGGTATTTGTTAGTATTTCCATTTTTTTATATAAATAGACCACTTTCTCCTAGAATTATTGTGTTCTGATATTGGACCAGGAGAGGGGTGCGTTCGACTTACACCTACTGGAAACAAATTGAACTGCTACGGTAGAAAATTCATCTACACCTGCAGTGGCCAGTTCATGTTCAAACACTAATAATTAGTAGTGAACATGGCTCATTCTTGTTTACTGAGGTCAGAAACGAAATACTTAGATGGTATGAGAACACTCTCTGCCTTTGCTACAGTGAGGCTAATTCGCCACCTTCAGAAATCATTTTCTACATGCCCCATAACCATCAAAGTGGAGGATGCTGAGAGTGGTTGACCACTGAGGGAAATTGAGAAGTAATGTTCACCTTGCAATCTTGCTCATTGTACCCAGAAGAATTACACTCCTAGAAAGCAAATGCGATTGTTTAAGTGAGGCTTTAACCGACGAAACGGAGAGCTTGGGATGAGGAGTAATTCCCACTGAAGGATTCTGATAGCTGTTATTATCTGGCATTGAGAAACAGATGCGACACCAAAGTACAAAGCGATATATGTTCGTTCAAGACGAAGCAAGCCGGTAAAATACAGGTAGACCAAAATTATATTATGGAGTTCATGAACAATATCGAATACCCGCGCCTTGGGGAGGTTACATGTATGTGATTACACGAAACCATAATACAGTAACAATTAGTATAGTCTCTCAGTTTACCAGGAAGTTGCACCGCATTCCAGTGGAATGGAAACAAGTTTGTCTGTCTCACTTTCAAAGGAGTATATAAAGAAGATCTTACCTCCTTCAGACCAGCAGCATTATTATCAGTTCTGAAAAGACGATTAAAATTTTCATGAATGAATGGATGAGGGAGTAACTGGATTAAATCGACATCCCTGATGAAGTGGAACACAGAATCAGGACGAGCAAAAGGTGTGCAACCAGTCTTCTAACTGCATGAAATAGTTGGACAATCTACTGAGACCAATTTATAAGTACTAGTGAGCGTAAAGTGTACCCCTGCTGATGAGTCTCAACATCAGGAATTTCACAGGGGTTTTCCCTTAGCCCACTGCTCTTCCTGAAACTTGTCAATTACATGTTAGATAAAACTAGCCTAGCAAAGTGATTATATTCACAGGATAAAATGATCTGAAAGTTCATAGAAAGCGAACAGAATTCATTTGAACTTCAATTCAGTGCTTCTACTTCGTCTTTTATTTCTTTTAAACCTAAACTTTTTCAGTAGTTCGATAATAATAGGACCAACCAATAACAGATAACCGGACAGTAAACGATCCATTAGAACTCAGTCAGTCGAAATGTTATCTCATGAACATTCTGGTCCATGTGACATAAATACCTTACATTTAACACACACGTCCGCTCCCAAACATCTCCTCAGTACAGTGACCAAGGAAATCTTGGACTGCAAATTGAACATTAAGGGTACCGAAGCCAAAGCAAACGCAACCTTTCACGTAAGACAACCTGGTGAAATCACTTAAAAGTGGCTCCTGACTCTCTTTGAAACATACGCAATCTCCGAACTAGAAATTCCTAATGTTTTCGCACTTTTTTATTCAAGAGTAACATTAGTGAAAAAATAATTGGGTGATGATTATGAGGAATGAATCTCATGAACATAGGCCTCATCAACAAAGAATATTCTCACTTAGTGATATGTGAGTACTGCGGATGAATCTCAAAGTAACTAACCGTCAACTGATACTCTAAAATTCATTCGTTTTACAGGATTTTTGACTTATCTGCATTTATCAGACTTGAAACGTATTTTTTGATAACCTTATTATTAGTCATTTTCAGCTTCATCCTTCTAGTTTGGGGTTTTAGGGACTTTGCTCTAGGAATCTGCAAACTGAAGGTTTGTTTAAATGTTGTTATAATTATTATTACAACCGCATATCTTAGTGCAAGAAACTCCTCTAAACACTGCTCATTTTACTTTTCAAATATCCACACTACATTTGGGGTTCGAGTGTAAGATGTCTAAATAAGCTTCACGAACGGACTGCCAGAACGTTATCAGAATTTTGACTACACAGCTTCGACAGAATATCTTTACCGAAGATTTTCCCAGTGCTGTCGGTTGAGGGACAATCTAATTTTTTCTTTAAAACAATTTATGGCCTCTAATTACCAAGTTCCTGCTCAGTTGTGAACCATAGCTCTGCCTAAAGACCCAGGAAAGTCGTATATCCACTACTACTCGTGAGATACCAGAAGCGGCATAGTCTTTTCCGGAGCAGGCTATTACTGCCTATTCAAAGCTGCGACAGTATCACCGGGTCCAACAATAAGAGTGAAGCCGTTACTGGAGACTAAATATGTTTATCAATTACTTACAGAACTCTTACTCACTCACGAGACAATTTTGTATTTTAGGTAATATCTAGAATTTTATTGAGAACTGTTAACTGTCTACGAATATATTGCACGGTTGTTGTTTAAGAGGTACGATTCCGACTTTTACAATCAGCAGATACTATAAGGACCCGAATGTCTAACTCTATCTCATGTATTACGAAGATATTGGATATTGGATATTGAAGATGTTTATTTTATTTCTGTGCTAACTCCGGCTGAATAGGAACTAAGAAACAATTTTTCTAATTCTTTCCATTCTGTACTGATTTGTCCCTTCGTATCATTTTATATTCCTTACTATCTGATCATGCACACAACGTTTACTAGATGGTACTGGCAATATTTTGTTTGGGTTATTTTCAACTTAATTTGTAAGAATACAACCAACACCTTTAGTGTAATTATCGATTTCACCTTTACTTCTTAGTTAAACCTGACCTCACAACTTTATTTATCTTCAAATTATCAACCTGAATTGTCCATTTTATATCATATGTAGCCATTTAGCTCACTTCGTAGTGATCGTTGCTTCACAAATTGACCAGTAAATAAGCAATTATATTCCAGTGAAAATTCATTGCGACCCAATTGTAGACACTCTTGCTTTCTTACACGAATTGTCCTGCTTTTACGCTAGCTATTAAGATTCAGCACACCAAGTGCTAAATTCTTTTCACTTCACGTACGAATCCCAAAACTACCGATTAAGTCAATGTTGAAAAATGTACGGGAAACGATGAACCTCGCCCTAGGATACAATAAAATCTTTAAAACCAATAGTGCAACCCTACAAACAATTTTTAACTAATTTTCTTTTCAAACATATTGCATGCTGACAACATCGAAATATAAGGAAACAGAGTACAACTGCAAGAGAACTTTATAGCTGCAGAGAACTAGTGGAATCCTTAAAGAAGGTTCAGATTTTAATGGTTGTCAAACTGTGACTCATTTATTTTCTTAAGCCTCATCTGTCGACTAACTGAAAGGCTTAACCTCTTTCACTGAGAAAGGCAACTTAGCATCCTACGCTTAATAAAGCCTATACAGAAATGAAGTTTTTTATGAAGTTGTAGAAATCTTTATGACTTTGATTTAAGGAAACGAAAAACGCTCAGAAAATTTGAAGTGAACTGAGGAATGAGAATTATTAATAAATTTAATTACAAAACCCAAACTACTTTTACCCTTCATGAAAAGCCTACTATTGTTTAAATCAGTCAAATAATCATAACTCTTGAAAGGACGAATTTGATTTAGTTTTGATGGTTTATCAGTTCTGAAAAATGGTAGGATTGCTTAGTATATTTTAGCATATATTTTTTAGAGGGAGGAGATGAAAAATGTTCTGTATGGTTGTATCGCGATTACTGGGGGGATTTTGATCAATTTGACTTTCGGTTACTTTTATACTGTTGGTGAGTATCTTAATTAAGTCTACTTATGTACCAGCTAATATGGTGCCCTATATTATGGGGTATGTACAGGCATCAGTGGATCCCAATATATCAAATCAGGCTTCTATATGGCTGTCAGCTATTGCTTTAGCAGTTCAAGGGATTTCAATGCCTATTGGTGGCTTGTTAGCTGATAAACTAGGATTTAGATTAGTGGTGGCAATGAGCTGTCTAACAATGAGGTACGTTAAAGAATATTTTGCTCTCTAATGCTTTACTAACTTCTATATCAAGTGGCACACTTCTGCAAAAAGTCTGCATTCTGTATTACTATGTGCTTAAGAAAACAGATAGATGAGTGTATTGTCTGCTAGGTAAACTTATCAGCGAGTAGTTAGATCTTAAAACTTCGGCTTTTACAGATGGTTCTACTCCACTGCTTTTTGGTTTTTTTAAGGATATGCTACTAAATAAATTAAGGTAATACATATGTCAGCTATTTTACAAGCATACATTGGACAATCTCAGTTTCATGTCACGTTCGTTGGTCGTGCAGCAAAATGCTTGGGTTCTACTACATAAAACTTGCTTTGCCCAGTCATTTTAACGAAGCATACAAAGCAAAGTTATCTCAGTTTTTGCTTTTGTATGTCGAAACTGAAAAATTCAAGTAATTGCATTCATCGCCTGAAAGTTCATCAAAGTTCTAAAACTATTCCTGAACAAAATTCAAGAGTAAGTGTTTCGACCGATTTACGTTTGATTTTTTTATAAAAACTCCAAAAATAACATTGATTAAAAGCATTTCTTTAGATTTAAGTAATTATAAACTTAATTTTTTTTGCAGTGGTGGGGTCCTTTTGACTTACTTTACGATTCGAGAAACTTATATTGGTGTGGTGATAACGTATGCAGTTTTAATGGGGTCCGGTCTGGGGCTTGGATATTCAGTAGTCTTGACAGTTGCAGCTTCGGTAAGAATTTGGGCGCAAAATCATTTTTAACTTATTTAAAAACTTTTATTGTATTTATCCATTGATTTCACATGAAGAACTAGCTATATTCCTTATATGAAATGCGTAGTGCATTTAATATCAGAGGCTTAATTTATCATAGATCACTGTTAATACAATAAGTAATCACCCGTCAGTCGATTTACTTGCTATTTCTAGAATTATTTAAGGATAATCAATTGTTTTAGTTTAAAAATGTACATGAAAAGCAGAAATATGTTGAGGGCTTTGTAAAAAAGGTATATATGTCAAAGTTTTGCTTTAATTGTTGACACAAATTCAAACGGAGCAGGGAGATCGTCTGGGTTTTATTCTCTAATGATAGACAAGAACCGTAAAAGATACAAAACATTTTCGCACCTTTCATCATTCCGTATATTTAAGGCATAAACCGTATGCTGCAAGTGTATATTTTTCATAATTATTAAATTTCGAATGACGGAAACACTACGTAGATAGTAATTCATTAAGTAGCCGCGATTCATTGAACAAATAGGCAAATACTTTTTCTTTTTAGTTTTTTCTCAGTGGGTCAATAGAAGATCACCATACATCTTTTTGGAACTAGATTAACTTCAGATTATATGCAGCTTACATTTATGTCATTACCTTAATTCTTTCATTTAGCATTAAAAAAGGCTCTGAATTAATACAGTATATTAACAAAAGACATTATCAGCATATAGTATAACATCGATCACCGTTTCGCTAGATTCAGAATTTAACTACTTTCAAAACAAGTTCGCTTCTTAGACATACATTAAACCCAATTAGAATATAAATTTCGGCATTCTAACTTGTGACTAATTATCAAACTGCATACTTTGCATAAAAAGTAATCAATGAAAATAGTTTACTTATGAAATTATTTATTTGAATCATTTGTGTGTACGAAGAATTTAGTGTAAACGGTTATTAGTTTGTCCACCTTTTACCGTAAGGCTTGCCTCAAAATAATTAGGTTCCATCCAGTGTAAATCACTTTTACATACGATCTAGTGTTAACTAGAATCGCTTTTATCTATTAAAAAAAGTAAGCATATCATGTAAAAAGATATTTGTTATATACAGCTTGCTGCACAATTTATCTGTCAAAGAGAAGGTTCCTGTTAAATAAGTTACTTGCACCTATCGTTTTCATAAACTTATTGGTATTGTTTTTTTGACAAATAATTGTATAAACAGTGATGCCGTTTCGGGAAAAAATTTAATTTCCATTATTACAGTGGTTTCCAGATCACCGTGGCCTGATTGTTGGTATGGTGGCCGGTGGTTTTGGTCTAGGAGCGCTAGTTTTTACACCAATTCAAACAGCAATAATCAATCCTAATAATGTTAAGGTGAATAATGTTACAAGGTAAGAAAACCCTACTGCGGATGTCAAACAAGCATAAAAAACCTATATGTCTGTTTAGCAGGAAGTGATCCCAGATAGTTTTGTCGAAGTAACTGATGTATAAAATGCTTCTCAAGAAGAGCATATTGCAACTTGCATTTTGAATCATACTTTTGTGCTAACTATATTTAATCTGCTATCAATGTGTATTGATGCTTTGATTTGGATTGAATTTAGCAGCCTATTAAGTAGAAGTTGCAAAACTGATATTGCATAAACCAAATATTTACAAAGGATTGTGAAACTAAAGAATAGTATAATTGATCTGATAATCATGCTTTCGAATGTTTTGACTGCTGTTGTTTCAATAAAATTTTTAAGTATGGAAGGTAGTGATCTCATATTCAACCACAAGTAACTTACTGTCCACTGTTTAATGAATAACTTTTAAACGAAGGAAATATTTGAGGTATTGATGTAAATTCTTGCACTGACGCAGAGCAAGAGTCTGTTAAGGGACTTAGAAAAATGTCCTTTTCAAGATTGATCGCTGTAGCTTGCGACTCAAAAACCAGTTATTTGATAGTTTAAGTCATATGGTCTAAGAGAATAGTAGCCTTACGTTTTATGGTACGAAACTGTGAAACACGAAGTAACTCTAAAATTAAGTTCTAAATGGTGGTAAACGATGCAAAAAGAATCAATAATTCATTGTGAATTGAACGTTACGACCAAGATCTTCTGATAAGTTAAGTACTTTTGCTTGAATAAACACAACTTGGTTTCACAGTAGTACTTAATATTATTCTTCATATCTGCTTCCGCTGTGTAGATGCTTCACGCAAAACTTAAGAAAACCTTCCCGAACTGTGTTAGTGACTATAAATGTACTCTAATTTGAAAATATTCTTATTGTCGTCTCATTTTTGACGAAAGAAGTTTATGATCACGTTTAAACTTACATAATTTGAAAATTCGCTTGTTTAATTTTCACTGAAGAATTAGGATTTACAAACAGTATGTCTAACTACATTAATTTTTAGGATGATAACGGCAATGTTTCTAGTGATGGTCTATGAACTAGTTTCCAGTTTATGTGAATAATTACACAAGTTTAAAATTTTTCGTATAATTGCGAAAACAATTTATTTTGTACTGGTAGGCGATTTGATGACCCCGATGTTTTGGACCGATTACCATCTGCATTTCTCATACTTGGTGGCATTTTACTGTTTATCCAAGTCATCGGACTCGGACTATTACGCCCTAAGCCCACTTCAAAACATGTGAGTCAATCACTTTTGAACACTTTGATCCCTATTTTGTAAACACATTGATATAATCCGTGTTGGATTTACAAGTTTGCTCTTAAATTTATCAGGATTAAAAGTGATAGACTACAATAAGTGATCAAGCCGCATACTAGTCAATATATTATTAATCCATAACTACTAGATCAAACAGATATTTTACTGTATTATTTTTTCACAATATAGAGTAATTTAGTCCAAAGAAACTTCAAGTAGTCTATCTATAAGCATTGTTTTGTATGCTTTGAAAAATTGTAGGTAGAATAAATTTGGAATAATATAACAATTTTCGACTTAAAAATAAGTATTACGGGGTTGTGAAGATTGTTATGCTTTTTTCGAAACCACGAATCGATCAATGTTAGACCACCATTAGAAACCTGGAAGCAATGGACGGCCGTTTCGTCCTGGTATGGGACTCCTCAGCAGTGCGCATCCACGACTGCTGCACCCCGCAGGATTCGAACCCAGGACCTTCGGTATTGTAGGCGAACGCCTAAAAATAAGTTTTCTACAAGTCTCATAAGTCAATAAGTTAACTCAGTACTGTAAACATCATTTCATTATGTAGTTGATAACTCATTATTTTTTGTATATGATAATAGTTCTTACAAAACAACATAAGTTGCGTGATAAATTGGAATCACATAAAAGTTGACAAATGCTGATTTTACTTCACTGAAGTGCTTTCAGCATCTCGTTTTCAAATGTTTATAAACCAAACGTAACGTTTTTGACCTCTCAGGCGTATACGCAATCCGTCAGCCTACTGAAGACTTTATGTCAATCAAAATCTAGATCATACTTTCTGTTTTAGATTGTTTAATGAGGTTCTGCCAGCTTGTTTTTAGCTGTCCCCTAAAGGCATCACATTAAATTGAAAAAGTCATGGAAAAGCAGTTGAACAGTATTATAAAAGTAATCTTAAATACGGAAGAATTCCTTTGAAATCATGAAATAATCTAAATTAGACCACCATTGAATACTTGAAAGCAGTGATGGGCCATTTCATCTTAGTATGGGACTTCATGCAATTGCACACCTGTTATTGATGTAAGAACTTGTTGGGAATGCAAAATTTATGAATTTTAAGTTAGCTAATTTCCTATTAAACCTCTTGACTTAACTTATTTTTCAAACCTTAAGGCCTATAACTATTCACAGAGATTTAAGAGATCACAAAGCAAGATGAAAAATATTATGATTATTGATTCAGTTAAATATTTCCCGTCGAAGTATGACTGTATCACATATAATACATGATACTGTTATTTCTTTTTCGTCACAAATATTCTATATATGCCGCTGTGTTATTAAGTCACAAATTGACAAAATATCGTAGGACAGACATGAGGCTCTTGAAAAGATAAATTTCAAAGAACTCATTTCCATACATGATCTCATATCCACTGATCTTTGAAATGTGTTTTTTTAAGTTGTTGGATAGTTTACTGATTAACTTACAACAAACATATCACGTGACACTTTTAACTAATTGAACACCAACCAGTAAATATACTCGCATGGTAAATGTTTATTTTCTGCTACACATATCCCATTAAATATATATCTCTAAATCCTGTTCTAGGCAAGAAATTCAGTCTCAAATAATCCAAATTACAGCCCAAAGGCATCAACCTCACGTGTAAGTTAAAAACAAATTGTTATTTTTCGTCACAAATTTTTCATTTATGATGCTTAGTTTTGAGATTTAAAATAACGAGATCTGTTAACTGATTGAAGTTATTATAAATCGAAGATTTATTTGATTTCACAATGTTGTGGCCTATTTTTATAAAGCTTTATTTAAAGATTTAACATCACGAAGCGATTTTCACTAAAACAAGCTATCGAATCCTCAGTGTTCCTACTCTGATTTGCTCTTTGTAAACCTTCTTTCAATCCAGTTAACTAATCTATGCTGTTACAAGGCAGTGGTGGGCACAAAATTCCACACTTTACGTATATGGTGGATATAAATATCGGTAAAATTGCCCTTACCACAGTTAGTTTGACTAGATCACATGTTATACAAGGTCATCCGCAAAAATGATTAGGTTTTCTGATTCTCGAATAAGTGACTTTTATACCATAAAATAAGGCAGATGCTTATAATCACTCCTAAAGTATCAAATCTAATAAATTTATTCCACTATATAGTCAAGCGAAAGTAAACTTCAGCTTAAATCTCAGCTGTCACTGAAGCATAGTTACATTTAACAATCATTTCTAGGTTCAGAGCACGCCTTGACATTTACTCAAAATAAAAAATGAGGTAAAAATATAGAATAGTTTGCTCCTTTTTCATCTGTTTCCAAGTGCATATATTAATTTGTTTAATTAATCATTTTCCACTTCAGAATAACAAGTCGAATTTGTCTAGGTGAGTTTCAGTTTCTATAACTAATTAAAGTAACTTACTTTAACCACTTATTATACCCCACCAGCAACATTCTTTCTGTTAGTTCACAGGGTAAATTAGACATGTGTTAGTTAAACATTTACAAGCAACGCTAGTTTTAGAATAGACAATGCTTTGCACTATAATTAGAAATTGATTATTAGCTCAACAAAGAAAAACTACAAACATATTGTATATTGTATTCTTTCACATTACCAATAAATTTTCATTTTCATTGATAATAGAGCCTATTTTTAGTGATCACATATATTTCATTGATAAAAAAAAAAGCAATTTGCTTCATTATATTCAATAATAATAATTGTCCATTGTATATATACGACAAATTATCACATTAGACATAAGTATAAAGTAAATTTTGTTATTAGTGTGTAGATAAACTGTGTGAAGGAATCATATTCAGCATCTAATGATAATAAATGTTAATAACATCGCTGTTTATCGCATTGCAACGGTAACATTTGATTTATTATCTTACTTGATAAAAAGCAATCCAATCTTCAGATATTTTTAATATCTTACAGTATTTTCTAATAGTTAAAATTACTTGATTTTAACAATCTAATTGTAGATTGTTTTATTTTTTTTTCAGGGAAATCAATATTAGTTCAAAACAGGTCTTTCGTTATATTGATTTCTATCTGTTATGGTTCATAATGTTTTGTGATATAATACCAATCACCATTATTACTTCGGCGTACAAAGTAAGACCTAAATTTATCTTCAATTTATTTTAATTCTTTACAGATTTCATTCTAATAGTTTACTGGTATTTTTCATTCATACTTCATTATCAAATAGATTTATATTAGTAAATTAGTTGATGAATGAAAATTATAATTAATGTTATTCCTTTATTAGTTATGAACAGTGAGGAAGTGTTATTATTGTCTGATTGAATAACCATGAGGCTGGTGAAAATTCTGATTGAAATAAATTGAATGTTTATTCACTGAGTCACCACTGTATTTTAAGTGCACCTAACCGTGTTCATGTGACCCACACGAACGTCATCATCTTATAAAATACAAATAAAATATTTTAATTCAATAAAATTAATCGCTCATATACTCAATTTGACAAGAAACAAATTAATTGCAGGAAGTCCATGTTTACAACTATTTATTATACCTTCATTTCATTTTGATTCCTTCTACAAAGTGTAGTTGTATTCTGTTTTGGAGCGATTTATTAGTAAGAAAGAACCTGGAATATATCTAACACAAAAGTCACTATCACACCCATTAAGTCAGATAAATGCCCTAATCAAACGATTTACATTTGATCGTGGGAGAAGATGAAATCTCATTTTATTCAATATTCTGACTGCATTGCGTCTATCAAATTCATACAAATAAAAAGCATTGTAAACAATTGTGTTTGTCATAAGAAGCAGAAAATTATTACTAACGAAATAGACCAGTTATCGATCAGATGTCTAGTACAACTTAATTTTTTGAATCAATTTGTTGCTTGTATACCATTTTTTTTAGTGAAAAAATCATGTTCTAATGATTTTTTTTCGTTACTTCTAAGTAACTAAACGGAAAATCAGTCAATCGAAAAGAAATAATTTCTTAACTATTCAACTGTTTGCTCTTTATTACTGTAAACACTCATTACAACTACTTATTGAAGTCGATTAAAATTGCGGTTTCTTTTGTATTTACTTCAGCTATTCGGTCAAGCGTTTATTAGTGATGATAGATTTTTGTCAGCTGTGGCAACAGCTTCATCACTGTTCAACTGTGCAGGACGTATTATATGGGGTGAAATTGTTGATCGCGTCTCATTTAAGGTAAATAAATTTGTTTTCTGTCCATTTATATAATGTTACAGTCTGATGGAAGATACAAGAATTTATTTAACCAAAGTTTACCTAAACCTCTCTCATATGTATGAAAAAAAAATTGTGCAATAACTTCTATGTTCTAAACGCATCACGAATCAAACTAAATTACTGGAAATAAAAATAATCATGCTCATTTGCCACATGAAAATATGTTATATTATAAAACATAACCTGTATATTCATTCTAAAATAATCTAGCAGAAATGTAATACAAATTTATTTTCTGTAGCAAAATATCTGAAAATATAATAAAGATAAAAAAACTTGTGAAAATCACTCCAGTGATAAAAAATATGTCTCAGACCCAAAGAATTCGTTTGACAAAATATTTAACCTTAATGCATACATACTCAAATTCCTGCTAGTAGGTGAGCTTTTATTCCTTATGGTCATTACATACAAGCAATAAAAGAAAACAGTCTTCACCTAAAAATAATGTTTATTTCCAATATTTTATATGAAACCCATCCCTAATTACTGTATATTTTAATAATATTACAGTTACCAATGTGTACAATGTTGCTTACTTGGAGTGTAGTTCTGCTAACATTTCCTCATATCTCTTTGTTGACGGGGACAACATTAAAAGTTTTCTATACTATTTGGGTACTACTCCTATTCTTCACGTTAAGTGGTACTTTTGTCATTCAACCTGCAGCAACTGGAGCTCTTTTTGGTCCTGTTCATATGGCTGTTAATTATGGTCTAATATTTAGTGCATTTGTAAGTGAATGTTTTTCAATTTTAGTATATTTATCCCGCGACTCAGTCAAAACTAGTTAAATTCGATCGCAACATGAGCTGTTGAATCCATACGATGGAGACTTTATTCAGGCTTAAAGTTATTGTGTCTACTTAAGAGTTTCGAACCTCACACTATCATAACGTCCAGTGATGTAATCAATGTTTCAAACTTCAGTGTTTACATAACTATTATTTATCTGTATTAAACTCCTGAAGTTAACTTGTTATATAAAGACTTTTTCTCTGCTTCAGTAATCTGTTTTTTAGTTGTCGCTACTATGTTTACCTTGTTCATAATGTATTAGTGTGAAATTCATCAGCTTCAATCAGGACAAATTTGTACCTGGTTCCGTATTCAGTACTTAATCATGAGCGTAATATGAACATTACAACATTTACATTTTCCGCAAGTTAAGGTTTTCTAATATTTTCTTAGGCCTGAAATATTTACTTATTTCCATCCTCCGACTATAATATCTTATAAGAATTATTGAGCTGTGAATCCCCTGTTCAGTTCTCTGTACACTGGAATATAACGTCTAAGTGATAACTACCTTTTGTTCCGACTTGAGCATCTGAGATTTAACATGTAACTACTAAGAGAAATACAACTGTCTGTCCATTCAAATCCATCTTTCATTTCTTCGAACAATAAGATGCGACATGGGAACTAACTGACAATGAACATTGGAGTGGGTTTGTTCAACTAAACTGAACACCTTACTCATAAACAATTTACTAAATACGCCAAACAAATCATGATTCACCACTCAATCTACTTAGAATAAATTTTCAAACAAAAGTCTTCAGTTTCCCAAGATTGTATTGAAAAAATCCCGTCCTTAGCATTATTACCTATAATTAGCAGCTGGATGTGCGCTTCAACATATTCTCAATTTATCACTAGCCTCTAAATCTTGACTTAATTACACCTAACTGTTTATAATAAATATAATACTCAATTCAAATATGCACCATTCCATTGCCCACATTTCTGTTCAATAAAAAGATGTGAGAAACTGACAATGAGTAAAATATAGTCGCCATAACACTACAAGCAATAAGAAACTGAAAAGAAATAAATATGAACGTGAAATCACAAGTATGAGAACATGTCAAGCTTAAGATCTCGAACATAACTCTTCATAGAATTATAAATACAAATATATATATATATATACCTTATTTTCAATAAAGAAGCATCATTATTTAGATAGCTTTTGTTACGATTTAAGACATAACATACAATCAGTGGGAAATAACTTAGCTAATAATACACACAAAACCAGAATCACATGACTCAGTAAAATAAACAACACTAAAATTACAAAACCTACACTTCAATCATCTTGACACCTGTTTATATTTATTAAAATCAACCATAAATGTTATTTATAAAACCTAATATATTATAAAATTTGATTTGAATTTTATTTGTTTTTCAGACTGTAGGGAGTATTCTTTGTGCGATTGTAACAACTTTTGTTAGCTATCAGAATGCATACCTAGTTCAGTTTACTGGCTGTGGATTTGTATGTTTGTTCGGTTAGTTTTCGAATTCATTTTCCATGTCTAATAGTTTTGGCAATAAAACTATAATTTGATAAAATTCTGGCATGTTTACATCATCGAAATTAGTGATACGGCTTAAAAAAACATGACTGATTTGTCTTATCCTATTGTAATTGTTTTAAGGCATGCTGTGAAATCTACAAGTACTAAGGTCTTGCGTAGAAAACATTCGAAAGAGATATTCATCATGTGGCTATAATGTACAACAGTACAGTTGGTTGCATTTAAAGCGTCCAAAGCAAAAATAATCCAATTTTCAAATCCTTACCAAAGTATACTTGCTGCTTATTTGATATTTGAATTCTTGATATTAAAAATACATCTGAAACATTACATCTATGAAACATGATGTTTCAATGGGATTTGGCAGATGACTTCTGATAAATTGTTAGATTTATTTTTTCATAAATTATCATGTGAATAAACTGGATAATTTGCCTAGATTAAATGCGTCAGGAAATATCTGATCTACGGTTAAGACATTAAGTTATACAATCATTAAAGTATCTATGTATACCAATGGTTTAACAAAGATTAAAGCCTATTAACTATATAAAACATCACGTAACCAAATAATATAATCTTAGGTAACCTTAATGTTGAGGTGATTGTTCACTTTTGTTTTAAAAATCATCATCCTATTGAAACTTCCTCTGAACCATGATTTGAATATGATATTCCGGTCGTTATAGACTGATTTGAATTATTTCAACACTATCAGTCAATGAAATTAAAATATCGTACGATTTCAACCTTAAAATATGAGTTAAGCATCATACATCAAAAAATGTCACGTTCCCCTTTCAACTAATGCGATAAATGCATCAGTAGCTCATATAAATTTGCTTTTTGAAATAGCAATAAAATGTTAAAAATTATTCTGAATTCCTGTAATCTTCTTATGTATTGTAGCAGCTGTAAAACATTAGGAAATGTACTCAAGTGAATTGTTTAATTTCCGTGATTTTGGACAGTTACGATTAAAATGTTTGGAAACAACAGTGTGATGATGTTCATTTCGGTGGATATGTCTTTTGACTACTATCCGCTTGATAAATTTAATATTTCCATTCATTACATAAAAATTAAGCTGAAACATTAATTGGATAAGAGCTTTGTAAATAAATTCCGATAATGGTCTTCTAAATTCCTATAAAGGGCAATAAAACAGGTGGCTTCAATAAACTCAAGCCACTTACTTACTTACGCCTGTTATATAACCTGATCGTACGAATGAGCTAGCTATTCTGTTAACAATCTGGTATTTTACGGATAAAATCTTCCCAAAGAAACTTGAAAAGTAGTTTTTTTAGAATGCAATCAACAATCATGTCTGATTATTCTAAACAAGGATCAATGAAGGGAAGTCTTTTAGAAGCTTGAGTTTTTCGCATAATGATTGATATACATATATTTCAATATGACGACGTAAAATAAAATCATTGCTTATTTTGTCCACGTTTAATTTTGTATTTTCTCCTCCATTATCAACAGCATTCTTTCTTGCCCTATGGATTAAAGATCAAAAAATGCCTGAAAAGATCAACCTTTGTGGAGTGTGCACTAATACGTGCCAAAGTTTAAGACTACCACAACCAGTCTCTGTGCCGGTCGAAGAACTGGAAAGGCTTAATCAGGGTAGTGCAAACAAGTGAAGAAATACATCATTATCTCAATTCACTAAACTGTCATGAACTTGGTTGTTTGAGAGATTTTTCGCCACACTCCACAATTATCTATTATTATGCTCTTTAAGGTATAATTTTCCACTAATCATTGTTAGAAAATTATTTTTTAGTCTAGTACATTGTCCATGCAAATTTTAGCACAATCTTGTGAAAAACGATCTCACGATTTTGCCAAACAATTTAAAGTCAAGGAAACTATGTACTATTCCATAATGACTTGTGATTTTTATTGTTTTGTTTTTGTTTTCAATACTTATTCTTGCTTTCACTTCAATCTGTGGTGTTTGCTTGAGCTTTGCTGTTTTCTTCTGTTTGTTTGTTTGTTTTTGTCATTGCTAATTTGAATCCAATGATTTCTGTTCTAATTTTGGGGTTAATAGTGTGTGTGATTCGGCTTTTTCAATCAAATACAGAGCAACGAACATTTTTTTTATACTGAAGCATGAAATGCCTTGTTTTATATAAAATGATGAATATGACAATATTTATGGGAGAAAGCAAAAATCCGGTGAATTGGGCACTGTTATGAGGAAACTGTTCATGTAAATTATTTGCTAAGTAGTATAGATTTCTTTCAATAATCTAACAGTGTAGTTGTGAAAAGACTGGTTTGATAAAATGATCTAATTAAAAATATGAGGATAGACATGATTTAAGATATGGCACGGTGTCTGATATGTTGAATGAAATAAATGAGGTAAGGATATGCTAATTGGTAACATAACAATTGCTTAATCGTTTCTGTATCATTAACCTTATCATACTAGTTTATCATGAAGAAAGCTATTACATCAGTTAATCAGAAACAAACTTACTACCTAGAACCACCATTTATAAAAGTTAAAATGAAGTATCTTGAAGGTGATGGATCGTTCAACTATGCCTTTTGAAGCATTTTGATTTCTCACTGATCAGATTTCAAATTAGTTTACGATGTCAGTTACTGCTACAACATTTTATGACTTTTCTGAACGAAGATTTGAATTTCTTCACAAATATAGTGTGACTCATTTTACGCATTCAGTGAATTATTAGTGAATTATAATCAAGCGTAATAATTATACACCGGGAAATGAGGTCACAGAAATTTTTTCACAAATAAAGGCTCTATTGGATTAATTATAAGAATTTATTTGCTTTTATGACACATAAACAACTTAGAAAAACATTGGAAAAGTGATCGATACATGAAATTCAAATTTTTTTATTCCAAATCAGGCATGTGCTAAGATGTTTGGTGTTACAAGCCTCTTGGGATTCATTAAACAAATTTCACTATCAAGTATTTACAAGGGAAGGGTGAAACAGCATGGAAGCAGTGAATAGATCATTTGTAGTTCATAATGGTCAATATATTTAGTCGGTTGTGAAATTTTGCAAGATGCGTAGATACTCGACATAATTTTAATGATTTCTGAAAGCAACTTAATGGTTAACCTGTTAACTGCTTCAGTAACTGAAACTATCTGTAAAACTATTAAATGATCTGAGCTATTCATAAGTGTACATATGGTATATTATTCTGTTAGATGCAACTTAAAATGCAGACAACCGTGTTCATGCTTGTTAAAGATAGTTCAATCAACCATGGAATTTGAGTAAAACTTCGTACGAACATCATTTCAACCTGCCATACTACATTAGCGCGTATATGTAATTTTCAATTCAAATCCCATTGTAGTAGATGTAGTAGAAGTATTACCGGTAATGGAGAAGATTGAGGTTCGAAGAAAATAGTCAAGAAGTATAAGTCAGTGAAATAAGTTCAAAACGAGAAAGATAAAAGTGAAAAGGAATTCATAAGATTAGGATTTGAGAGAAGACAAAGTATGGATGCACCTTTGCTATTACAAACGATTTCGAGCCGTGTCATCCAAAGTTTCTAAATATCAGTTACTACTTTGTCTCTGACCCCAACCTGGAAGTCTACGCATACTAACATGGCTCAATCCAGTTGTCCATGAATTCATGGATTTTGTTGTCTAATATATATATTTAAGATCATATAGTGTTCCTATTAACTACTAGTGACATAATATGAAAGACGTTACAGCTGCCAAACACACTTAAAACATGTTTGGATTTCACCTCGAACCCCAAAAAACATTACTCATCTACGTAGTTTTTAAAGTTAGACGTTGTGCTGCTTGTTGCTTAATGTTAATAGTCGATTCACACAGACAAACATTAGTAATGCAAAACAGGAAAATGTGTAGAACGAATAAGCCATAATATTAATGAGATGATTTTATGCATACCTTTATGTAACAAGTTAGTTTACTGAAGATTATGCGTTTGGATCACAATTTCACATTGCCTACACATTCATTAAAAACAGGCGAAAAATTAAAATTTTACTTAGGAGCTTGCTGTCACACACATGCGAAGGATTGATTTTAGGCTTTATTTTAGCCTCTCATAGAGGAGGATACTATTATGCCTCTCAGCTATAACCTGAATAGAGATTAAATTAAACATTTTCATCGCTATATTTATCCCATAAACTTTGCCTGAAGAATCTACTTCTTATATTGCTAACTATTTCTATTATGTGTTTCATATCCGCAATTACTAGAGTGTATTCATGTTAAAATAGATTGTATTACTGAACAACACCGAATGGTTTTATTTAAACATGTAAACACTATAAAAGGGAAGATCTAAAATTAGTATAACTATTATTTACTCAAATTGAAGCTTGGCTTATTGATTTGGATTGTTGACAGACAAACCAAGTAGGTTATATCAGGGTTGGTAAATTTATTAGTTTTACAGCGAGAATAAGTCTTAGACTGCCTACGCAAAGTGAGTCCTGTCTGTTTATTTAATAACTATAAGAATAATAATATTAGCGCTAGACAGCTTTGATTTGTACGGTTTGAATGCAAAATAAGTTTACTAAATCCCATTACTCTTGATTTGAAAAAGTTAGCCAAAGAAAGATAATGTATAAATATTACTAGTCATTTAATATTTTCATTATATAACAGGAGCGTACTCACTGGCAACCTGAACAAAAATAAATGAGTTGTAGTTCCATTGATGACCAACAAGCTGTAGGAAGTACAAATGAAAGAGTTAAATCGTTAAATGACTGCATTAAGAAAATATAGTTACAAAACTCCTTACCCAGTTGTTGCAGGCCGCTATGCTAAACTCTACTTAGTAGAAAGAAAAGCTAGTTCCCAAAATGTAGTCTGTATACAGTTCTTCGAATTCGAATATTGAGGTTTATGTCATTCCATGGAGTCCGGATAGGGCTACCGCCGGTCCAAAGCCCGAATAAGGGGGAAGAGTTGAGTATGGAGCTGGCGACCACATCCCGTAGAAAACTAACTCGCTAAAAATACGCTAAAACGAAAAAAAATCATTCAAACCATTTCAACTCTGCCCTGAGACTAGGAAGGTCTTCAATCAGAGGAGTTATGACGTCTCATAATGAAAGTCAAGTTCCTTTGCAAGTCACCAGAACGATGCCCCTTCTCACAAAAAGGTTCATGGAATTTTCGAACATTGTGGCAGACCGGAAGACTGTTGGAAGTGTTGGAATCAGTGAAACGTATTCAACACAGTTTGAACAACTGAGACTAGCTTCAGAAGAGCTCCTGTTATATTCCGACTATGAAGAAGAAAATATCTCACACACAAGTAGTTACACTGATTCTGTTCCAGCAAGCATAAAAGGAACTGGCAGGATGGGAAACTCATGATTCCAGGATCATCAAAGCATCCTTCGAAACGAAGAAAGAGGGGATTACAATGAACGTCATTCAATGCTATGCACCTACCAACGACCACAATGAAGACGTGAAAGATCGATTCTACGAGAGGCTGCAGTCAGTCTTCGACAGATGCTCATCAAACTATTTAAGGATTCTGATGGGAGAACTAAATGCTAAGGTTAGCATGGGCAACACTGGATATGAAGATATCGTGAGACCACGTGAATTGGGAGAAAGGAACGAGATTGGTGAGAGGTTTGCAAACCTATGTGCCTTCAACAAACTGGTCATCTGCAGCAAAATATTACCACACAAACGCATACACAAAGATACACGGATTTCACCGGATCATATTACACAGAACCAAATCGATCATATCTGTATCAAAGTGAGAATCAAGAGAGGAGTTGACATAGCCTGAGACCAACACTTTCTGGTTGCAAAAATCAAAATGAAACTCAAGAAACAATGGATAAATGGGCGGGCAACTTGACAGAAGTTTAATACGGCATTTCTTCGGGATACTGGAAAGTTCAGCGAATTCAAGACATCCCTCAACAATAGGTTACAGGCCCTGTACCATCTACTCAATGGAAAGGAACTATCATGGAGAAAAATCGGGAAGTGATCAAGGAGGCAATCACTTCAACATGTCATGAAGTTTTGGGCCACAAGAAGTTACTCTTGATAAAATTCAAGAAAGAAGCGACAAGAAAGTGCAATCAATATCACCCGAACAAGAGCAGAAAACACCAAGGCACAAACTGAATACACAGAAGCAAAGGAGCAAGTGAAGAGTAGCATCAAAGCCGACAAATGTTAATATGTGGGAGATCTTGCAATGAAGACCGTTGTCAGGCAAGGTTGCTTACTCTCACCGTTCCTCTTTCTTCTGGTGGTCGACTGAATTATGGAGACGTCAACATCTGGTGGGAAAAACGGGATTATGTGGACAGCTAGGATGCAGATGAATGATTTGGACTACGCAGATGATTTATGTCTTCTATCGCGCACGCAACAATAAATGTAAGATAAGCCGACCAGTGTAGAAGCAACCTCAGCATCAGCAGGTCTCAACATACAAAATGGGAAAAACAAGATTCTCCGAGACAACACTACATGCGTCAACAAAATCACTCTTGATGTAGATGCCTTGGGGCACGTTAAAACCTTTACCAACATAAAGGTCAGAATTTTCAATACAAATACAGTTCTACTGTATGGGGCAGAAACTTGGATAACTAC